GATCCTGCCCTTCGTGGGCACCAGGGCCACTTCCTCTCCCTCCCTCCTCATCCCACAGGTGCCCCGTGCACTCATGGGCAGCACATCCCCAGGATGCAGGTGACAACGGGGCAGCCTCGATGTACTTTAATAACCTCTGGGGTCCCATAGCCAGCTACAGGCAGGGCAGGGATCGGCCCAGGCACCAGAAGCCCCAGGCTCAGTGGCCTGGCACATGTGGGGCCATGTGGTCCCCACAGCAGGTCACGGAGATGGGCCTCCCTGGAGGTGTCCCAGGCGCACACAGCGGTGCGGGGCTGTTGGAGCAGGGACCCTCACTGCGGGGCTCACCCGTCACGAGTGTCTCCCTGGTCTCAGCCCAGCCCCCCGCTCTCGACAGTTGGCAGGGGCTGGTGCTGGCTGGGGCCATCGCACCTCCCTGGTGTCCACACCGAAGGGACTGAGCACCACGCAGGTGAAGTTGGTGAGCAGGTGCCGGGTGTCGAAGGAGCTGAAGTGCAGGTCACGGCGCAGGGCCGCCCCCGAGCCCCGCAGCTCCTCTCTGCAGACCCAGGGGGGGACCCATCAGTGCCCACCCTGGGCTGGCAGATCCGGGGTCCCTGCCCCAGGGCCACCCCGCTGCCTCTGCCCCCCCATGTCCCCCGTCCCCATACTCACTGCACTGGCCCCTCATGCACGGCCCCGTCCGGGTACAGGCTCTCCACAAAGGAGCCGTTCCCCAGCCAGTAGAGCAGCGTCAGCTCTGGGAGCCCACTCGTCGCCTCGCATGACACCGTCACGCTCTCACCTGCAGCCGGAGGGGACGTGGGGATCAGGGGGGCTGCAAGGGTCCCCAGTGCCCCCCCCGTTCAGGCTGGCCACAGTCACAGTCCCTCCACCTCGTCAGCAACCCAAAGTCTTGGCTGTGGGTGGAAGATGCACCCTGTGTGTGTGCCGGGGGCTGGCGCAGGAGCTGACCCCACTGTACCTCCCCCAGCTGGGGGGCTCACTGCAGCTTCCCCATCCCTAGGCCATCCCTGCCATGGCCCCAGGGGTCTCTCACCTGGATGGGGGGCCTCTGTTGGCATCCGCAGGATGGTGATGCTGGGGAGCTGCAGGGCCATGGCACCTGGGGGAGCAGAGTGGAGTAAGGCAGGAGGTCAAAAGCGACCCTCTGAGACCCCACATCTCTGGGGTGGGTCAGAGGGCAGGGTGCCATTGAGGGATGGGAGCACTCCTCACCCCCAGAACCCTGCACAGGCCCCTCGAGGGGCACAGAGCCCAGAGGTGACCTGGCCTCCCCGGCTCACCCGGTAACCCCCACCTACCTGCACAGAGAACAGCCAGGGCCCAGCAGGGCAGAAGCAGGAGGAGCCAGGCAGGGAGTCCCAGGGGCCCTGCAGGCAGAGATGGGGCTCAGTGCTGGACATGCCGGGATGCTCCCCACGAGCCTGGGATGGTTCCGTCCCCTCAGCATCCTCCCGGCTGGTCACGGTCCCCCCAGCACCTCCCCCCCCCAGCCACCCCCGGGCTCGTCCCCTCGCGTCTCCCCAGCATTCCCCCCAGCAGGCCATGGTCCCCCCAGCAGGCCATGGTCTCCCCAGCATCCTCACCCAGCACTCCCCAAGTCTAGGATGGTCCCGTCCCCTCGCATCCCCCCAGTTAACCATGATCCACCCAGCGCCTCCCCAGCATGCCATGAGCCCGGGATGGTCCCGTTCCCCCCAGCATGCCCCTCCCGGGATCCCTCAGTGCTGTCCCCTCCCCGCTCCGTACGGGCATGCCGTGGCTCAGCCATGGGGCGGCGGCGCTGGCGGCGGCGGCGCTTTATGGGGCGGCCCCGGGGCGGGGCGAGCGGCAGCACCGTGACTCACCGACAGCCGCCCCCGGCCCCGCCGACCTGGCGCGGTGCCACGACCCGCACCGGCCCCGCTGCGTGTCCGTAGGGCCCGTGCCCCCCTGTCCCCTAGTTCCCAGAACGTGCCCGCTGTCCCCAGCACTCCACGCCCCCTATGCTCCATGTCCCCTACGCCTGGGGCCAACGTCCCTCAGGCAAGCCCAGGATCAGCACACGGTGTGTCCCACCCGCTCCTGTGCGAGCATCCGTGGGCCCCCCAGGGATGAAGGAGCGGGGCTCGGTTGGGCCCCCGTGTCCATCACGCGGGGCACTGGCTGAGCCAAGGGGCGTCACAGGACTCCGGGACATGCGGGTTTGCCCCCTGACACTCTGGGGTCAGGGGCAAGGCAGGGTCTGCACAAGAGGAGAGGGAGGCGGGTTAAGCCCCCGGGGGACTGAGCATGCACAGCGGGTGGGGGGAGCCCTGGCTGCTGACCCCTGGGTGTCCCAGCTGGGGCAGGACAACAGCTTAGCAGAGAGGAACCCCCCAGGACCCAACCCAGGCTTCACGCTGGTGCTTGGCTGTGGGAAGCCTGAGCAGGGGCAGGACCAGGCCCCTCTCCCCTGTCCCACAGCAGAGCCCCCTCATCCCCTGAGCCAGCCCCTTGGCAGCAGACACGGTTTACACGACCCACCAGCCCCGTTCCCCAGCACCCTCAAGGCCAGGAGCCAGCGCAGGCACAGCCACCTGAGCTGCAGGCCCAGGCACTGCCTGGTAAAAAGTCCCTAATTCCCCAGCGAGTTTCATTATCCCTGTTCCCAGCAGGGTAGAAAGGTGGCGGGAACAGGAACGTTTATCTTGGGGACCTGCCAAGTGCAACACGTCCCTGTCCTCCTGCTGGGATGAGGTCAGCAGCCACATCCTCCCCACAGCACCCACGGCTGTCCAGTGGGCAGTGACGGGCCAGAGGCCGCTCTCATGGCAGCACCCAGTGCTCCTCTGCCACCTCCCTGCTCCCACCAACACCAACCAGTTGAGCTCTGGGTGCCACAGGTGCTTGTTTGCCATCCACACGATATCTGTCCCCCTGGGAGAGCTGAAAGGAGGAACCATGGCCTCACCCTGGAGCGGGGAAGACGATCAAGAAAAACCCAGTGCCAGGTCTCCATTTCCAGGACTCTTATTTCGGTGTTTGGCACGACACTGCAATGTGGTTTCACCCGAAAGAAAAACCAGATGATGCAGCAGGCGCTGGGGTTCCCTGGGGAGGGGGGGCACACAGCCCACGTGGTGCCCACGGCCATGCCACTGCTGTGGCCACTTCCCAAATCCCCTGAGCCAGGAGCTGCCTCATAGCCCCTCACCAGACCCCAGTCTCCTCAGACAATATGGCTCAAGTATCTGCATGCCAAAATACCACCACTGGCCCTCGGGGGACTTTGCCCCCACCCAGTGCCAAAAAATGAGCCTGAGGCCCCTCACACCAGCAGGACTGCGGCACGGCTCCCGCCGGCACGGCCAGGAGGATGCCATGGTGCAATGCCGGGGCAAGGAAATGCCAGCACCAGCCCAACCTTCGCTCCATCCCTTTTATTCCAGTGCCAAGAAGAGCAACACCCAGAGAGGAGGCCCCCGCGCCCTGGGGCAGGGGCACCCGCTCCTGGGCTGCTCTTGATGTACCGTCACCGTCACCCAAAAGGGCGCAGAGAGAGGAACAGCACCGGTCCCACTCCATGCCCTGGCTGACAACCCCGAACAGCCAGGGGATGACGCTGGCCTCCAGGGAGAAACATAGAAAATTTGGGAGCATATAAAAGGGTTCCCCGAGACAGAGCCCACCATCACCGTGCCAGTGAGCAGCTTGGTTCCTCCCGGCACACCCATGGCACCCAGAAGGGGACCCAGCAGCCTGGGGTTGCCAGGCATCCCTCTGTCCCCTCTTTCAGGGTACTGGGCTCCAGCCTCTCCTCTGCAGCCCCCATATCCCATCCTCGCTGCCAGCAAGGCTGCTCCGGGGTGCCAGCGTCGGAGCCGGCAAAGCCTCGGCCCTTCTCCCCCTGGCCTTCCCCGGCAGAGCAGCAGGAGGGAGCTGGAGAACAGCCCCCAGCCCAAAGCTCAGCCCAGAGGGGTGCTGCGAAGGACCCGAGAGGGGCAGGGAAAGGGACAAGTGTCTCTTTTCAGCTGCAATAGAAAGTTTTAAATACGCTCATTAAAATAATTGCTTTTTAAAAAAATCCTCCCTCAGCTCTGGCAGGAGGGGCCCCAATGCTGCTGTCCTCAGGGGCGGCCGAGGTCCTGAGAGGTGATGGAGCAAAGCCAGCATCCCTGGTGGCAACTGTCCCCGGCCCTGGGCACGCGTCCTCTCGTGGCTCTGCGGCTCCCCACCGCCTGCGCTTACTCCAGCCCCAGGATGTAGTTGATTCCCTGGACCAGTCCGATGATCACCGGCTGCCAGGCCACCAGGTAGCGCAGCCAGTCCAGCAGCTGCCCATACATTACGTGAGGCCTCTCCCAGCTGGGCAGGAAGGAGTTAAAGAGCCATGGGGAGATGGGTGAGAGGAGCACGGCCCACCCAGGAGCCACCCAAAGGTGCCCCAAAGCAGGGACAGAGAACACGGGTGCCCAGGGAGGGACAGACATGGGTCCCCACAGAGGGAAAGCTGTGGCCAGGCTTGCCTTGGGTTTTGCAGGGTCTCTGCCACTGTCATGGGCTGCAGTGGCTTACCCAGGGTAAGACAAGCCCCTCACCCCTTATGTGCTCTACCCACTGCTCTCCTTCCCACAGTGCTGGCTCCCAGCAGAAGAAAGGATACAGATTACTGAACATCCTCTTGAGATCCACCTTCTCTTTGCAGTATGGACACGTCTGCTTCTTCCCAACAATGCACCAGCCACGGATGCAGAACTCATGAAACCTGGGGAGCGGCAGGTTAAGGGGAACTAGAGGAAGAGGGGCACACATGACTAAGCGAGGAGGGAACCACCAAGCCTAAGAAAGTCCCCCCAGGCCAAGGAAACATCCCACTGCATGAGGACGGGGCATTGCACAACTACAGACCTTTCCTAGAAGGTGCATCAGCTTCCAGATAATGCAGAAGGCGCTCACAGGGCAGCAGGATGGGACCAGGGAGGCAGAATGATGGCCTGACCAACGCATGGGCAGCGGGGAGACTGAAACCCTTCACTGATGGTGCCCAACACTGGGAAGGTTCAGACAGTCTGGGAGAGCTCTGTGAACTGTGTGCATTTTGGAAGCCTTCTTCAAAGGCTTCTTGGGGATTGACAAGATATTTATGGAATTTCTCCCAGGGTCTGACTTACTGCTATGCTCCGTCACAAGGATGTGCACGACTGAGCACTGCCTGGAGAAGTTACAGGGAAACATGAGGGGGCTGCAGCCCACTTGCCACGCACAAGGGTGTCACTGAGCAAACAAACTTCCCCCAGAATCTCTCTGCTGCTCAAACCAAGGGGGAATGCCAGTGAGTCAGCAACAGGAGTCACTCCGTTGTCAGCCCTGGAGCCACAGATCCAGGGGTGCCCAGCCAGCCCTCACCCCAGAGCACCACCAGGAGCAGACCAGCTCCTCTGACAACCACACAACCCCGTGCTGCCATAGTCCCAGACTCTGCACGAGTCAGCCATAAATCTCACAAACAGTCCCTAACAGTTAAATTTAGGCCATGAGTTTTGCCAGCATGACCTTTGCCTAGGCCCAGTTTGGAAACCACCTCGCAGGCAGTAATGCATGCGGTGCCAGAGGACATTCCCCTTCCAGGCTGAGTCACCACAGAGTAAAAACCCTGACCTGTCTCAGCTGGGGCTGAGCAACAACCAGGACTTCCACTTTCAAAACCCACTTCACATCAATCAGCTGATGGGAAGGGCTGAGTGACTCCAGAGTCCCGGAAACCCTGGAGGAGTTCTGGGAAAGGAGGAAGCTGACAGGCTGTGATCAGAGCAGGCAGTGACCAGCAGTGCTGGACCTGGGGGCTGTTTTCAGAGGGGGGCCAGCAGCGTTTCCCCCTGATTTTTCCTTACGGAGACTCAGACAGGACCCACTGCACTGGGTCTCTGATGAGGGGCCAGTGTGGCACAGAGCAGGGCACCTCACACCATCAGAGCTGCCACTGCCAGGCAGACAGGTCACAGCGGATTTGGCAAAGGCAGGTGGAAAGTGAGGTGCAGCTCCATGGCCGAGCAGAGGGAGCTGGGGAAGGGAAGAAAGCGGAAATAACCACTTGTGATACACATGGAGGTGGCAACCAAGTGATTTCACGGATGCTGAGTCAGTGAAGACACAGCCATGGATCACATGCAAATTCAGCCAGACAGCCCCGAGTCCCAGGACGGGCTTTTCTTCACCCATTGTGGGAGAAGCCGTGGGGCAGGAGCTCCCTGCTGCCCAGCCCGGCGTGGGGCCAGCAAGGCGAGGGGCTGGCACCTGCAGAGAAGGATACACGTGGTTGCAGGAGAGGCGGTAGGTGTTCTCGATGATCCCCTCCTCGTTGACGTCCACGAAGATCTGCTGGCCGCAGACGGCGCAGACGCTGTCGGAGAGGTGCTTGGTGGGCATTCCCGAGGCGCTGTAGAACTGAGCGAGGGCAGAGCAGAGGGAGAGCGGTGACAGCGGGAGGACACGTGTCCCACGCCCGCGGTGGCACGGCTAAGCTCTAAGGAGGGCTGGGGTCAGCACCCCGGGAGTCGCCTCGGCCTTTGGGGCTTAAAAACCTTGTTACAGGTCCGGCTGCGGGAAACAACTACAACAGGACAGGGAGCTGCTCAGTGATGCGGTGGCCCATCACATCCCAGCCCCATGCACCCCCTTCCCATGCTGAGGGACTTGCTGTCAACCTCAACTCCCTAATCCCTTTCCACAGGACTCTCTCCAGGCTCTTGTCTTCAAATTTGTACCTGTAACCAGGATTATGCCACCCCAGGAGGAGAATCTTGGCACTTGCCCTGCTAAAATTCACATGGCTGAAGCTTGCCCAGCTCTCTCGTCTGTCCAGCTCTCACTCCTAAGAGGCCACAGCCTCTCCTGGTTTAGTATCATCAGCAAAAACATGCCTCCCTCAGAGTCCTGGCACATTTTTGCTCTGAGCATCTGACAGAGCCCTGGAGATCTGAGAGAGACCTGAGCTGTGCCAAGGTGTTGCACTGTGGCCCGTGAGAGGCTGGAGCAGAACCTCAAGAAGCAGCAGCAGAAAGCTCAGAAAGGAAGAGGAGGGGGAAAGACAAAGTCCAAGACCCTAAACGGCTGCTGAAAAGAAGAAATATGACCTACTTCGCTGGTGTCCTACGTCACATGTTTTTAGTGGAGTGGGTTATTTTGATACCACACGAGTGGGCTACAGATTCTGGGCCACCAAGCCCTCTGTCCACAGGGACAGCAGAAGTCTCTGAACAACCTGTGCCAGTGCCACACCGCGCTCCTGGGGAAGTACTTCCTGTCCTTCTGGGGATGAGGGGACCCAGCAGAGGCTTCACTCTTCAGGAAGGCTCTCAGAGCAACTCTTGCTACATTACAGCCAGGGACCCTTCCTTGAGGGGGAAGTTTGATGCACTTTCCCATTGGAGGGAGGCCAAAGCTGCTGCCAGGACCAACATATGGGGATGACTCTGGCCCAGGGGACAGCCCCTGGTGAACTCACCCCAATGGTGGAGGCCATGTAATCCGCACACATCTCGGCAAAGTCCCGCTCCAGCACTCCGTAGTAAAGACCGTAGAACAGGAGGGAGATGCCAAAGTCCATTGCATCTTCTGGTTTGATTCTACAACAGAAAAGCCCAACCATCAAGAGGTTTTTTTCAGGGCAAAGCCACTCTTATCATATTCCAGAGAATATACGATTCTAGAGAATATTCCAGAGAAGTAGTCAACCTCTCTAAACATGAAGCTGACTTGGACTAGACTCCTCTGCCGCCACCTCTGGGCCGGCTGCTTCTTGCAGGTACATCTTCATCAGTTTAGCAAAGAAAATCCCACTGCTGCCCTCAGACTGGACACCACAGAGCTGAGGGAGCTGCCGACAGCTGAGCTGGAAAAAGGGCTCTCCAGCAACCTGGACCAGTTCAGGTACCAGCACCTCACCCACGATCCTCTCAGGAGCAAAAGGACACCCCAAGAGTCCCTTTGGTGCCATTAATCAGATTGGCAAGACAACTGTTTCTCCAGAGTAATACTCAATGGCATGTCAGACCCCATTGCCCCAGGAGTGGGAAAGATTCACTCACCTGAATAATAAGTTAAGACCAAAGAGTGTAAACATGACAGCCATGTACCCCACGATCCCAGTTGCATAGCTGATCTTGTATATTAGTAGAAACCATTTATAAACCAGCCTGTAAAGAATTAAAACAAAGAATTTAACAATTTCATTTTTTCCTGAATGAAACTGTGCCAATCACCCGAAGAGTTTTATTTTTCAAACCCACAGTGTTTTTGCAGACACATCACCTACCCCTACACATGGGCAAGAGCTTTACATTCCTAATTCAACCTGCCATGGGCTGCTCACAGTCTCGATCTCCAAACTAGAAACCTCAGGATCTCCAAAGGCCATAAGGAAGCATGCTGCACACCGGGAATGCCCTGGGTGAGGATACCAGCCCACGTGGAATCCGCCTTTCCACCACCCACCCGGGTACCAGATGGATCAGGCTGGCTGCCAGCAGCCACTAAAGTCCTTCACACCAGGCTCCCAGGATGCAAAGCTTAACACAGTCATCTGTGGCAGGGAAACTGGAAAAAACTCCTTGTAATGGTTACTCTGGGGCTGAGAAGTTTCCTCAGGAACACATGGACGAACCTGGGTGTTGTCTGTACCAGAGGCTTTCGAGTTGCCCTGAAGGTGACAAAAGCTGTGACTGCTGAGAAGAGCACCCAGATCACCAGGAACCGCCACCAGTACAGCTTGATCGTGAAATACAGAGGCACTACCCACATCTGGAAGAGGGTCACCATCTGCAGGAACAGAGGAAAGGCACTCGGAGCTGCTTCTCTGCTCCTCAGACATCAGAAACATCCTGACAGTCGTGGCAGCCATTCTCTTGCCTGCATCAAAGGGCCCTGAAAAGCACCAGGAAACTGCAGAGATTTGGTCTGTGGCACCCAGAAAACAGCTCAGAGCTCGGCTGAGAGCATGAGTCTGATGGGGTGCAGCCTGGGTAGAAGGAGGCTCAGAGGGGACCCTCTTGCTCTCTGCAACTCCCTGACAGGAGGGGGGGAGCCAGGTGGGGTCAGGCTCTGCTCTCAGGTAACAAGGGACAGGACAAGAGGAAATGACCTCAAGTTGTGTCAGCAAAGGTTTAGGTTGGATATTGGGAAAATTCCTTCCCTGAAAGGGTGATCAAACCCTGGCACAGGCTGCCCAGGGCAGTGGTGGAGTCACCATCTCTGGAGGGATTTAAAAGACATGTGGATGTGGCACCTGGGAACAAGGGTTAGTGGTGGGCTTGGCAGTGCTCGTTGGACTCCATGATCTTGGAGGGCTTTTTCAACCCAAACGGTTCTGTGATTTTGTGAGGGAGTCAGAGGCAGCAGTCAGGTGATTTTTGGTAGCAAAGGATAGAGCTGGAGGGAGAATGCAGAGGAACCATCTCCAGAGTAAGGTACAGGAGATGGTCCACCCAACCAGTTGTTGTAAGGCAGCTTCATAAACCTTTGCCTTCCCAGGGTCCTGACGCTGCAGCCACAGACAGGTATTACACAAGGTGAGAAGGTTTTGGCTTGTCTCTGCACTCCAGCCTATTCCCAAATGGATCTACAGCTGTGCAGCTGAGCTCTCGTGGTGCCGCTGGAGGGAAATGGGCAAACAGCTTCGGTTCAAAGTTCAGAGGATTACAGGTACTCCCAGGAAACATTAATTATGATAATATTATCATTACTATTATGACAAGGAAGTCAGAGTGAAGTTAGTTCAGTTAAATAACAGACCCAGCCACCCAGCTAGTGGCATTGGCAAGTGGCAGGTCTGCTCAGCAGAGTGCTGCAGGTACCATCAAACCCACGGTCCTGGCAGCAAGGAGCTCCCATTGCTTCCGAGGAAGCTCCCACAAAATGCAGCTTCCCTCTGGACAACACCTGAGATCTGCTTGTCAATCCCGGGTGCCAAGGCACCACGTCACACGGAGTTACTGGTATCGCTTCCAGCGAAACCTGAGGCCTTCAGGTCCATCCATCCTCATCCCTACCTAGAATCCCCCCATGCCGCTGGGAAGTCAAGGGAATCCCAACACCAGACAATAGGAAAACCAGGAACACACTTCTCATTGGCAAAAGGAGGGTGTCAGTCAACGCTCACATCCAGCCTGAGGCGGAACTTACGTTGTAGGAGCGAGGGTGCCGCTGCTTCCACTGAACCAAGAGGAGCTGTGCCACCACCAGCGTGGCGATCAGGATGAGGACCATTTCGGCGTGCATGGCCTCGTGCCCGCGGTGCTTGGCGTGCATCCGTGCGTGCTCCACCCTGCAACGACCGGGAAAAGGCGGCTGAAAAGCACAGGCACAGACTGCACGGCGGGGGACAGGCACCTCGGGAGAGCTGGCAACACCAGACAGAAAAACAGCTCAAAGAAGAATCCTGGAGTCAGGGGCTGTGAACAACCCACAGGAGAAAGGACAGAAGGTTGCTCTGGGACCAGCTCATTTCCACGCTGTGAAAGTCAAGAACAACACCCAGCCCATCCAGGTGTGAATGAGGTGGAGAACTCCCACTGACCTACCTGAACTAACGAACATGGAGTGTCCACATAACTCACAATCCCAGAATGGGCAAGGTTAAAGGGACCACTGGTGGGGTCATCTGTTCCAACCTCCCTGATGAAGCACGGTCCTCCTAGAGCACATTGCAATGTTTGACCCCCTGAGTGTGTGTCAATTCTCATTACCAGACTCTCAGCCCAGGTTCAGAGCCACCAACACCATTTTTCCCTCTTGCCCAGCAAGGGAAAGGCTGCAAGGGTCAAGGATGGGGGACAGTTGACACCTAACAAAACCCCCAAGTACCAGCAAATCGCTTCCCTCCACCATGAGCATGCTGGAACAAGTGATTTCCAGACTGATGCTCACCAGATACCTGGGGTTTCTTTGCAGCTTGGGCTGTTTGACCAAAAAGCAAGGTGGAATTAAGAGCTGTGACATCCTTATGTCTTGGTCTCCAGGTGATGATACGGTTCAAATTAGAAGAAAAAAAAATCCAAACGCAATAAATATGCCAAATTCTCTGATTTTAAGTCATCCTCTAAAAATTAACACAGAATCACAGACTCAGGGAATGGGTCAGGTTGGAAGGGACTACAGTGGAACTTCCTGGGCATCAGTTCCTGCCCGTTCCTCCTGTGCCATTGCTGGGCCTCCCCGAGCAGAGCCTGGTCCATCCTCTGCCCCCTCCCTACAGACACTGACACACATTGGGGAGGGCTCCTCTCAGTGTCTCCTCTGGAGGCTGAACAGCCCCAGCTCCCTCAGCCTTTCCTGCTCCCAGAGATGCTCCATCCCTTCAGCATCCCTGCAGCCTCCGCTGGACCTGCCCCAGGAGCTCCATGTCTCTCCTGTCCTGAGGAGCCCAGAGCTGGACACAGCACTGCAGATGTGCCTCATCAGGGCTGAGCAGAGGGGCAGGATCACCTCCCTCAACCTGCTGGCAATGCTCTTCCCAGTGCCCCCCTGGACACCACTGGCCTTCTTGGCCCCCATGCCACTCTGCTGGCTTAGAGGGAGCTTGTTGTCCACCAGGACCCCCACGTCCCTCTCCACAGAGCATCCTTCCACCTTCCAGCAGGTCGACCCCCAGCCTGTACTGATGCAATACCGAGAGACCAGTCTCACTGTGATTTTCAATAAACATCTGGCTGAAATTGGTTTAGTTTAGGGAAAAGGAGGATTTCTGAGGCCCCTTACTACAAGGCAGACACTGAGGGGCTGGAGGGTGTCCAGAGAAGGGCAACAGCTGGGGAAGGGTCTGGAGCACAAGGTTGATGAGGAGCGGCTGAGGGAGCTGGGGGGGCTCAGCCTGCAGAAAAGGAGGCTCAGGGGGGACCTTCTGGCTCTGCAACTCCCTGACAGGAGGGTTGATTGAGGTGGGGGTTGGTTTCTTTTTCCAGGTAACAAGTGACAGAACAAGAGAAAAAACAGCCTCAGATAGTGCCACAGGAGGTTTAGGTTCAACATTTGGGAAAATTTCTTCACAGAAAGGGTTGTCCAGCCCTGGCACAGCTGCACAAGGCATTGGGGGAGCCCCCATCCCTGGAGGGATTTAACAGATGTGTGGATGTGGTGCCTGGGGACGTGGGTGAGTGGTGGCCTTGGAAGTGCTGGGGGAATGCTTGGACTTGATGGTCTCAGGTGGCTTTTCCAACCTAAACTATTCTGTGATTCTAATATTTAGCAAGTAGTTTAAAAGAAAAAACATGCCTTTTAAGACAGTTCATACTTCCCCTCAGCAAAAAATGCTGACCCTGTCCTCTCCCACTGTGAACACGGGCTGTGCTGCCGTTGCTCCAGCCCGGAGCAGGAGCTGGCTCGAGCTGTACGCACTGATTCACCTCCCAGCACACTCACCTCCATCTCTCCTCTGGGGACAAGTGCGAGAGGTCAACCTAGGGAGACAAAGAAAAACACCCATGAAATCAGCCACTGGAGTTTGGGAGCAGCAGCAGCACCACAGAATGGGTAACTCGTTCCCTTCACCCTCCTGAGCAGCACGATGAGCAGGACTCTGTGTGGCTGTGCTGCCTGTTCACCACAAGGAACACAGCACCCGGCTCCTTTATCTCCTGGTGAGACCCTGACCCGTGCCGACAGCCATCCCGTGAGACCTCCAGGATTGCTCTCTGAGAACCTGAAGAAGGAATCTCTGGATTCACATACTTTAAAATAACAAACCTGGATGTGCCCATGGTGACAGCACAGCCCAGAGAATCATAGAATCATAGAATAGGTTGGGTTGGCAAAGACCTCCAAGATCATCAAGTTGTCCTTTCACCCTCCCAGGCCGCACAGGGAAAGCGGTGAGCACCCCTGCTCCTCTGCCACCTCCACTTCCCTATTTTACCGGAGCTGAGGCTCTGCCCACTATCCCACACCACCACTACCAGAGAATTGGTTTAAATCCCATGTTCACAACCCTGCCCGGCATCTCGGGGCACGGAATGGTCATCCCAGTGTAGCCAATGCAAATGCAGTCCAAAATCCCACCAGGCTGCAGGACAGGGGACAGTATCTGCACACCAGCAACAAAATAGTGCTAAAAAAAATTTCAAAATTACAGAAAAAGAAAGATTTAGGCTTTGCTTTGCTGAAATGGCTGGAAGTTCCTCCCAAACGTTACGGGCAGGAGCAACTCAAGAGTGACAGGAGCTGCTGTTATTAGTGATGATTGACAATGGGCTCATGTAATCCATCTTCTCCAGTGAGATTTTGTGTGAATACTCTCACTTTTGGGCAGGGGAGGAGTGGGGGGAGCTTTGACACTGCATTTCAGCTTTCGCTTGGAGCTTTATACAGAATCATAGAATCACAGAATGGTTTGGGTCAGAAAGACCTTAAAGCTCTTGTTCCTATCCCCCTGCCACAGGCAGGGACACCTTCCACTAGACCAGGTTGCTCCAAGCCCCATCCAACCTGGCTTTGAGCACTTCCAGGGACAGGGATTCCACAGCTTCTCTGGGCAAAATCTTTACCTTCACAAAATCTTCACTCGATGTCTTCACCTAATTGCTGAGGACCCTCCAGCCCCAATCATGTCCCCACACAGGCTCACAGACCGGGCAGCACACTGACCCACAGCACCAGGGAGTGAATCCCACAGCTCTGGGTCCCGTTGCCTTTTCTTGGTGAGACACAAACTCAGATTAAACCAAGAGCAGCTTGTCTGGGGCTGGGAACGTACACACGGGGTTTAGAAATCCTCATGGGGCTGGAAACACTCCAGCATTGCCGAGGCATTGGGGATGGAAATTGGAAACAAGCCATAGCAAGGACTTTGATATCACTCTTTCCTGCACACACAGCAGAGATGTGTACACAGGAACAGGCTCCACCTCGCCCCACTGGGTACGGGGCCGTGGGCTTGGCTTCAACCTTTACCCCAGGGCTCTCCCTGGCGTGGCACAGCCCTCAGCCTCGCCTGCCCGCTGCACCACTGCCAGCACAGAGGTGTCTCAGAGCCAGCAGCTCCCATCGCAGCAGGGCTTGGCTGAGGGCACACGCAGCTGCCCTGCTTCCCCTGCGGTGCCTAATGACACCCCAGGGGGAGGAGGCGGGGAAAGACACACAGCAGCAATCTGTCTGCCCGATGTGGAACGTCTGCTGAGCTTCACCCCAGAGCAACACTTGAGAGAGATTCAGCTCCTGAGGCCCTTGAGAAGTACTTCAGGACCCAGATGCAAAATCTAGAGCTACGGAAATCCGTGTTGGAGCTCGCTGGCTTGTGTCAGAACCCGTGGGGAGGCGGTGACAACCTGACACCGACACCGAGGAGGGTGTTTGTATCGACCAAATTCCCCGAGCGCCTCTGCTCCTAAAACAGCCAGTCCAGAGCCATCAGTTCAGTTGCTGTGACACAAACTGGAGCAAGAACAACTCTTCCGATACAAACAGGAAAAAAAGAGATTTAAAAACTAGTCACTGCACACAGGAGAAGCTGAGAAACCCCAACGCTTGTTGGCTCCAGTGTAGGTCGATCCCTCTGCAAGCTCTGGGAGTCACGCAGGTGCTTCCACTGCCTCCCCCCAGGAGATCCCTGCTCCCCCCAGGCTCTGGCCCCATCCTTGCTGAATAAGGATGTTTGACAAGCACCTTCCAACCACAACAATTTTTTTACCCCTATACAGTGGCTCTGCTCACTCCTCTGTACCACACCAGCAGCCACGCCATCCACAGAGTCAGCCCTGCCTTGGGAAACACTTCCCAGCCTCTTTGCTTCAGCATCTTCCCCAAATCTCCAAATTCTTCCAGCAGCCCCTGTGGAAATCCTACTGATATTGCACAGAGGTTCCTCCAAGCTGTGCTTCCAAGCCAACCACGGATCCACAGCACCAGACACAATTTTGTCTCAATCACAAGGACTGAGATTCACCAGATTTCCCAGAGCTCAAAGCTCCTGAAATAACTTTATTAAGGGGGGCCAGGACATGACATAAGGGATGTTGGGAGGCATCTGATGACTGTCAGACAGGACTTGGCAGAGCAGTCCCCCCCAAGCCAGATCTTCCAGCTAACCCCTCCTTGATCTGCACACTCTCAGCACAGAAGTTTTGGGTTGGGGCTAAAAATGAACAGTGATGGTGAAGGAAGCACCTGGGCTCACCAGCAAGCATTCATTCTATTTTTAGTTTGGGGTCGTCTTATTTTAATACCCAGTTTTTGGGTCTCTTGGGGGTTTTTGGGTCTCTTCCTATCCCTGATGACAACATTGAAGAACCTCCGCTTGTAAATCTCTACCAGGGGGTTAGACAAGAACAACGAGGGTGAAGCAGCTAAAGATCAGCTCTATCAAGTGTTGAGCACCAGCCCACTCCTGCTGCAGCCTCCTCCAGCTGCCACATCAACACAGGACCCAGTGTGCAACCAACTACAGCTCTTACAAAAGCTTTTTTAAAAAAAATTAGGAATTAAGAATGATTCTTCTGCTCTCTGTCTCTTCTGCAACTCATGATCCACTTAAAACCCCCAGCCTCCCCTGTGTGACGACTGGGAGAAACTGGATACCTTGGACTAAAGTCTAACCATCTCCTCGGACGTGGTATGATGGCCTTTGGAAGAGCCTCGTGCCACTCCCCACTTTTTCAAGGGCCTGATGCCCCAAAGCCTCCACAAACCTGTGATCTCCACCACTGGGACAGTCAATGGAATTACCCCCTCAAGGAAAACACAAAGGCTGTTGATAGGGTCAGCACCAAAACCAGAACCACCCGTTCCTCAGAGCCCAGGGAGCTGGGGGATCTCCAGGCACACACACGCTGCTGTGAGCCAGCTCTAATCTCCTTATGCTCTAAATCTGTGAAGGAGGCAAGCAGAATGCCTTGAGGATGGAGAATAAGCAGCTGCTGATTTCAGTTCAAAGCTCCAGAGCAGCCACCAGCCCTGATCTCACCTTTCCCACAGCCCCAATCTCAGTCTTTGTCTCGCAGCACCCACCAGGAACAACCTGACATAATGGGAAGATAAAGTGCTGCAAGTTCAACCAAGGCAGGTTGGGAAGAGGCACATTCTTTAGTGAAAGTCAGGAGAGATTTTGGAATCTCAATTCTGCTTTCTTCCTGCTCATAAAACAGTACAGGAACAAGGATCAGGGAGGAGAAAGGTCCCAACTGATCAAACACTTGGATAATTGGAAACTAAATGTTTGTTGAAGGCCCAAGCTCCCCGCAGGCAGAGCCAGAGCCATGGGACACTCAGCTTTATTCCAGGGGAACGTTAAACTGCTTTCAGGTCCCCACCATTAGTGATTCATCAGCAACCTGCTCTGCCCAAAGAGCTGCCAAGACCTCTGGACAACACGAGCAGACAGGTTTTGCCCTGACAGACATGGATTGTGTGGAATCACAGGGATAAGCACAGGTCCTATATGGACTCCCTCACCTGCTGCCTCCTCCTGATGCCCTCACTGCCAGCCCCAAAAGTAGCTTCCTGACAGAATGAAAAATGGGAATTTCACTTCTGAGCATCAGAGACCTTGGATCTTTCACATTTTTACATACAAAGTCACCAGAAAATATCTTAGAAATATAACCAGTAGCAACGCGGCAGTGATTGCTTTGTGCTCTAAATCTCCATCACCCCACTGCACCTGCTCTCTGCCAGCAATACAGGATGTGGGGAGGAGGCACAAGCTCCCACAGCTCAGCCATACACCAGGGAATCTCCACAGCTTGACTCTGCCAGGAATCTTCTCCAACATAACCATCAGCATCTGAGAATTTTTAAGCGAAACCACCTATTCCTGAGGAAGAGCACCGAAAAGTACCTGACTGCACCAGCAGTCACCTACAGTAACACACAGTGCAGGCAGGATGGAACCACGTTCTCCACACAGAACAGACCCAGGTTCTCCTGGTCCTCTACAAGTGGAAAGAAAACTCCCGATCATAAAGCACAGGGGACGGCAAAGAGCCCCTGCAAAGCCCGGGGCATCAGTGCTGGTGCCCGTGGCACACACACACACCACCCTGCTCCCAGTTCCAGCTTTCCAAATAGATTTCTTGTTTCCAGCTTTGTAATTTTTCATCCCCAGGAACATTTGAAAGCCAGCATGGGAACAACAGCCGAGCCTCCATCCTCGCCCTCCTGCCCCCGGGACCTCCACTGTCCCGCTGCCCCACGGGCCTCCCGAAGCCCCCACTGCCCCTCTGCCCGCGGGACGCTCAGTGTTCCCCTACGCCAGGGATCCCCAGAGCCCCCCCCAACACTAACACTCCCCACACCCACCTACCCCAAAGCCCTACGAGCTCAGAGTGCCCCAGACTCCCTCTCTCCCACTGCAGGGACCCTCAGAACCCCTCAGCGTACACCCCGACTCCGCTCCCCCGCACCCCCCAGGCCCCGCGCCCGAGCGGCTCCCCTCCAGCCTCCCCCGCGGTGGAGCTGCCGGCCCCGCAGCCGCCTCCCCCTCCCCTCCGCGGCTGCCCCCGGCCCGGCCCGGCGCAGCCCCCACACCTCCTCCACATCGCGCTCGACGGGGCCGCCAACCTCCACCTCCAGCACCGCCGCCATCTTGCCCCGCCCCCCCAGCGGCCAGCTCCTTCCGCCGCCGCCCGCCAATCACCGGCCGAGCCGCCGCTCTTGGGCCAATCCCTGCGCGCGGCGCTGCCCCGGCGGCCAATGGGGAGCGGGGAGGGGCGGGACGCGTGTCAGGCGCGGGGGAGCCGTCCCGGCCGGGGCCCGCCCGCCCTTCGCAGCCCCGCCTGCCCTTCGCAGCCCCGCGGGCTCGGTGCCCCCGGGCCGCCCGCCCGCCCTTCCCGCCGCCGCCTCGCTGCCCTGTGCCGTCAGTAACGCCGCCCGCGCCCGGCCCTGCGCGGCCCGCAGACTACGAGTCCCGTCAGCCCCCGCGGCCGGGCCGGGCCGGGGATGGCGGGGAGCGGGAGGCGGGGCCGTGCGGTTCGGGCGGGAGATTCGGGCTTTGGGATCGGTGCGTTGAGGTGCCTGGGGGCGTTGGGCTGCGGGGGCACTGCCGCGGGGGGATGGCGTGGAGGGGCTACGGGGCACAGCCGGGGTTTGATGGGGCTGGGAGAGGGGTCGTGGTGGAGGACTGGGGGGCTACTGTGATGAATAGCTGGGAACACGGGGGGTGGAACTGGAGGGGCTGAGGGGAGCTGTGGGGAAGGACTGGGGGGTACTGGAGTGACAGAACGGGGCTGGGGCTTGTGGGCTGGATGTGGGTGGGACCCGGGGATGGGGGGGTCGTGGGGTGAGCAGCGGACACAGGGGTGGCTGAACAGGGATGAGGGGTTGAGAGCCAGATGTAGGGGTTACTGCTGTGGCAAAGCAAGGCTAAGGGGTGGTGGGGCGGGTCTGGGGGGCACTGAGGCAGTGAGATGGGACTGGGGCGCACTGGAACTGCCGAGGGCTTGTGGGCTGAGGCTGGGAGCTGCTGAATGGTGCCAGAGCTGGGAGATACCCGAGCCCATCACAGACCTGTCTTCTTTCCCCACTAGGCACTGGAGGGATCTGAGGGGAATCTGTGTCCTAGCAGGACATTGACTCTAGAGGATCCCGAATGGCTCCAGTTAAAATCAGCTACGTGGTGTCCTTCTCCTCACAGGTACCCGAGGGTTTCCTCCAGGGTGGCTCGTTCCCCCTGAGCTGTTGGGTTCTCTGAAGAGGCAGGTGGGGGTGCGACAGGGTGCAGCACCAGCTTTCCTCGTTAGGCTGAAAGGCACTAAGTGGGGCTGAAGGGCAGGAATTCCAGGCAATTCTCAAAGCGGGGTGTTGTTCCTTGGGTTACCAGGGAATTCCCTGCTTCTCCCCCGGGCCCAGAGTGAGCTGGAGCCGGAGGAGAAGGCTTTCAGGGAGGGAGCCATGTCATGTCCCTGCTGTGCGTGCAGGACCCCAAGTACCCAGCGGAGAACCTGCTGAGTGAGGGCAGTGTCCGGCCCTGGCTTGGCTGCCCCCAGGACCGCAGCACGCGGCTGAGCGTGGAGCTGCAGCTGGAAAGAGCCAGTCCCATCGGCTACGTGGACATCGGTACGTCCCCGGGCAGGAGGCAGGGCTGTGCCCCCGATGGGCTCAGCAGCTGTGAACCCCCTGTGCTTCCCACTGTTCCCCAGGGAACTACGGCTGCGCCTTCCTGCAGATCGAGGTGGGACGTTCCTCGTGGCCACGTGACCAGCCCTATCTCACCTTGGTGCCCACTGTCACGCTGATGACACCGGATGACTCAAAGCTGGGCCGGAATCGCTGTGGGGTCCGGATGTTCAAGGAAGGTAAAGATCGATCCAAAGGAAAAAGGCACAGGGAAGAGCTATGGCCCTGGTGGTGGGCTGGCTGGGGGGGCTGGCAAGGGGATGGGGGACTGGCAAAGGGATGGGGCTGGCTAAGGGGTTGGCAAAGGGGCAGGATGGGGGGCTGGTGAGGGGGGCAGAAGGGGACAAGTAGACCTGGGGTTGTGGTTGTCCTTGGGAGAGCCGTGCCAGCTCTGCTCCCCTACCCCAGCCTTTCTCGTGCCCGTAATCTCCCAGTCCTTGCTGTTTCCTGGGTGTCACAGTGACAGGGTGACAAGCAGAGATGGGAGCAGTGCCAGGACGGTGGTCCCTGCTGCGTCCCCTCCAGCCCGGGTGCTCTCCCCCACAGCAGACTTCCCGGTGCCGGCGGTAGGGCAGCAGTGGGACCGCCTGCGGCTCACCTGCAGCCAGCCCTTCAGTCCCCGCAGCCGCTTCGGGCTCTCCTTCATCCGCCTGCGCACGCCGCAGGAGCCTGAGCCCCCCCGGCCACCCCTGGGCCCGGTAGGTGCCTCTCACACCTCCGTGTACTGCTGTCCACGGGGAGGCTGTGGGGAGGGGGCAGCTCCTCCACGGGTGCCACTCGTGCCCCAGGGAGAGCACAGGAGAGCGCTCGCTGGGCTGAACCAGGGGCTGTGCCAAGATAGCGGGCGGAAGGTTCCTGCTTGATTGCCTGGGGTGTCTCCTTGTCCCACAGGAGGATGCTGAGCCCTCAGACAGCCCCTGGTGCTCCAGCCCCGACTTCCACCAGACGTTTTTTCCCAAACCGCACTCGTAAGTAGCCTGGTCTGATCCATCCCATCCTCTCCCTGTGCAGCGGGGCCTGGAGCCCCTTGAGGTGCTGCCTCGGAGCCCAGAGCCCTGGCTGTCCCCTCCTGCGAGCCTGACCCTCCCTGTCCCCAGGAGATCCAGCGCAGAAGAGCAGCTGAGGAGCCGCCTGTGGCAGCTGGAAGGGGGTGCAGGGAGCCCGGCCTGCCTCAGCCGCCCGGCCCGGATGGTGCTGTTGGCAGCGCGGAGTCGGGCGCTGAGGCCGGGGGGTGACTCAGAGCTGCCGGCCAAGGACCTGGGAGGTCCCGTGGTGCCAGTGGGTGAGCCTGTACAACTGTGTCCTGGGCTGCATCCCCAGCAATGTGGGCAGCAGGGTGCAAGGTGGGGGTTCTGCCCCTCTGCCTCTGCGGTGCTGCCTCCAGCTCTGTGGCCCCCAACATCAGAAGGACATAGAGTTGCTGGAATGAGTCCACAGGGGGCCACAGAGGTGTTCCAAGGTCTGGAGCACCTCTGTTATGGAGACAGGCTGAGAGAGCTGGGGGTGTTCAACCTGGAGAAGAGATGGCTCTGAGGAGAACTGAGAGCCCCTTCCAGGGCCTAAAGGGGCTCTAAAGAGCTGGAGAGGGACTGGGGACAAGGACCTAGAATGGTAGGAGAAGGGGGAATGCCTTCACACTGACAGAGGACACTGCTAGATTGGATATTGGGAGGAAATTCTTTCCTGTGAGGGTGGGGAGGCCCTGGCACAGGTTGCCCAGAGAAGCTGTGGACTCCTCATCCCTGGAAGTGCTCAAGGCCAGGTTGGATGGGGCTTGGAGCAACCTGTTCTAGTGGAAGGTGTCCCTGCCCATGGCAGTGGGTTGGGACAACATGACCTTTAAGGTCTCTTCCAACCCAAACCATCCTGTGTCTCCATGGTTCCTGCCCACTTGCTGTTTCCCAGGCTCTGCTCAGGACATCCCTGCAGCCTCCCCAAGCACCTGCAAGCAGCCAGACAGGTGCCGTGCTCCCAGCCCTGCTGGCAGGTAATCCCTCAGGTCACTGTTTTCTTCCTGCCCTCGCCCTGGTGATTTACCACTCCCAGTCCCAGAGAGCTCTGGGTGCAGCCCTTCGCTCCTTTGGGCTGGCAGAATGTGGCACAGGGTGCCTTCAGGACGTGACTGCTCTGCAGGGCTCCAGCTGCTGCCTCAAGGCCACCCACAGTCAGAGGAAGAGCCCAAACCCACGGCCACCGACAGAGACGGGCCAGGAGGAGGGGCAGGGGACAGGCCAGCGGTGACAGGGAGACAGGTGTCTGCCCCATCTGCTCAGGTGGGTGCTTGGAAGGGGTGTCCTGGTGGTGAGGGGACACCAAGCAGCAAATGGGGATAGCAGTGGCAGTTCCATAGCTGAGACACCTCCCTCCTGCTGGTGCCCGGGCACAGTGCATCCCACCAGTCTATCTCTGCCATAAGAACCCTCAGGGAGGTGTCAGCCCAAACCCCGTGTCATCCCAACACCAGTGAGCCTCTGACAACCACATCACCTCTCTCCACAGGCCGCTTCCTCCTGGATGTGCTCCCCACGCACGCCTCCCACTGCGGGGAAGAGCCCACTGAAGCCTGGCCCTCCTCGTCCCCTGACACCTGGGTGTCCTGCCCCATTTGCCAGCTGCCTTTCAGCATGGCAGAGGTAGAGCAGCATGCCAGCACCTGCGGTGAGACGCTGTCCTCATCCCACCGCCTGCAGTAGGACAGTGGAGCTGGGGACAAACCCTGTGTCACCACCCCCCAGGGGCTGAAGCCACAGTGCTGGACCCAGCTGTGGTGCAAGGAATGAGGGGCAGAGACGCAGCAGCCCCAGGACGTTTGTGGCAAGACTGGTGGGGTGGATGGAGAAGGTGTTTCCAGCCCCTTGGCTGGGGGGGGGGCTTAAGGGGCCTGAAACACTGTAACAGCAGGAGTTGCTGCTGGAGAAGAATAAATTAAAGGAGAGAACGAGGGAAGAGAGAGAGAAATGCCCTGTGACTGCCCAGTGCCACAGCAGGTTCCCTGGGTGAGCACTTTGCCTTGGGGCACGCTGTGCAGCTGGTGGGAACAGTGAGGGGACAAGGAGGAGGTCACGCTTTTCCTCCCCTCACGCCCCACTTGGAGTTCCAGCACGTGTGGCCCACGGGAGGAGGAAGCCAGTACCCCTAAAGCAGGAGAAAAATACAATTTATTTACAAGTAGAAACATTTAAAAATGTTGCCTCGGCTTCCCTGGGAGCTGCAGGAGGGCAGGGGCAGGTGCGGGAGTCCCACACAGGGGGAGCGGGGGAGGCGGGGGGGGGTCAAGGGACGCTATGTCTTACCTCTGTCCCTGTCACTGGGGCTGCAGGATATCCCTGAGGAGGGCTCAGACCCTCCAGCCCCAGCCTGGTGCCAGCCCCTGCACCCACGGGTGTTTCCAGCCCTCACTCCCTGTCATGCCCTTGCCTTGGGTCCCGGGAGGGTTTAGGGTGACAATGGGTGCAGGAAGGACACGGGCGCCCTGCCGTGCTCAGGGCAGCCCCGTGGTTGTCAGTGGGACGTGCA